ACCAATAAACAAAAAAGAAAAAGTATCAACAACGAGTTTCTAAACCGAATTGAAACTTAGTCTATTTCGATGAATATACTCAAAAAAAGAATTCAATTATATAATGGTGATTCTACGATAGAATAAAAAGATATGATCCTTTCAATGGATCATATCGGAAAACAATTTACAAAAACCTTCAGCTTCAATCCTAAAAAAAACTTTGATAGAGAATATCATAGGGAAATTTGGGATATATAGAATTCATGGTATTCTTCTTGCGGATACTGATTAGCAAGAATTTGAACAGAAAAAAAAAAAATCAACAGAAATTGTTGATTTCTTACGTGAGTTTATTAGAAAATCAGGATACACCAACATAAATTAGAAAGGTCATTATTTATTTTCAAAAGTAAGAAAAAATTCCGAAAGCGGAAAAAAAGTTTTAACTATTTATTAACTCATGATGTTAATAGTCAAAAAATTAGAAGAAAATCGATTAGAACAAAAGAAATCAGAAAAAAAAAAATTCCTCGATGGTCATACAAATTAATCACCGAATTAGAACAATAGTCAGGAGAATATCAAAAGACGTACCTATAAATTATCAAATTCGTTAAAAAAAAGAAAAAACGTGTGGTAATTTTTACTACTAACAAGCAGGATATTGATCATAATACTACAAATACAAATACGCCCAATCAAGACGAAGTAGCTTTGATACAAGATTCACAACAATCAGACTTTCGGCGAGGTATAATCAAAGGTTCTATGCGGTCTCAAAGGCGTAAATAATTATTTTAGAATTGTTTCAAGCAAATGTACATTCACTTCTTTTTTGAACATAATCCAAAAATTCTCTCTTTTTTCTTTTGATATCTCCGGGTTGATTAAACTATTTTTTAGAAGTTGAGTGGGAAAAAGGGAAGCATTCAAAGTTGTAGAGTATACAGAAGAGCAAACAAATGGAGAAAAAAAAATAACAAAAGAAAGGAGAAAACGCAAAGAGAAATACCAGAAGCTTGGGATACCCTTCCATTTGCACAAGTAATAAGAGGTTGCATGTCACTAAACCAATCTATTTTTCGAAAATATATTATATTACCTTCATTTATAATTGCGAAAAATGTTGGACGTATATTTCTATTTCAATTTCCGGAATGGTCTGAGGATTTACAGGAATGGAATAGAGAGATCCACTTGGATATTTTATAGAAAACAACAGATAGAGGGGATAATATTTCTTTCAGTGCAAACCTTTTATTCCAAATATTATAACAATTCTTCACTGTCCCACACCTGTTTATAGATTCAAAAACTACCGTATATCACTTTGTCCTCCATGTTCAAAAGGTGGCTCCCACGACGTAGCACTTTGCCCCGCATAACACTTAGCTCTTCGTCCTCTACTTTAGATAATCATCGAAAACATTCTAGTTCACAAGTGATGATGCTATAAAGAGATCACCTTAAGTAGTTGAAATAGAGGGAGCTGGGAGAGCAAAGAGGATCACTGCTCACGTGCTAGATGGCCCTGAGATACCTGCGAACAGAGAACACGTGAACTAGGCCGGGGGTTGATTCGGCGGAAACCCCTCCGACACTCAAGTCAGACGTGCGGATTGTCGAAATAGTTAAGAGAATTTGACTCATAATATTATTTAGATAATAGGACATACCTTTAATAAATGAATTATCGTTATTTATACCTTAGTTGAGATTGTTAGGCCCAAACCTTATTTGAAGGTGATTGGGTCCCGGTGATAGTGATCTTTAATATTAGACTCGTGGCCCAGTAAATAAATAAATTGTAAGCCCATTAGGTTGGCCCAATTAAACATATCAACAAGATATAACAGATAGATGTCAGCACAAGACCCTAGAGGTGGTTCATATGGGATGGGATTATAAATAATTGGTGTTGTACATTCAACTCATACCCGACATAGCACTTAGGTCCTCATATTGACCGAAGAGAACTGCAATAACTGATAACATGATGGCATGATATAACTGAACTGTCAAAAACCCGAGACTATTAATAGAGGTGGTTTAACGGGATTAAGAGGTGGCCCCCATCATGTATAACTTTGACCCGTAGGATCAAGAAATGTTTTCCACAACGTAGCACTCAATTTCCATGCCACGACAACTAGAATCAAGAATTCCAACTGCTCTTAACCCGCAAGGGTGGCCTAGCGGTTGGAGCAAGAGAGCTTGGTCATTTGACCCAAGTTCGAATCCCCTTGCCAACGGTCGCTAGGTCGAGTTTGTCACACATGGTTAGCCTAGTGTGGTTTACATCTCTCGTATGGTTTGCAAGCTATTATACGAGAGTGTAGGTTTACCCAGTGCACCTATATGGTTGGCTGCGGGTTCCTGCATTACCAAAAAAAAAAAAAAAAAAAAAAGAATTCCAACTGCTCAAGACTTCTAAAGAGACTTTTTCCATAGAGTAGTATAATCTTTGAATCTGTTAAATGTGACAATCATGATTACAATAGACGTATACCAGGATAATCTTAAGACATGGCTTTATGAAATATATAGTCACAATTTTTTTCGACAGTTATCAATAATCAGTTTTCTCACAATATAGCTCATAATAAAAAAATAAATTTTAACTTATCTTCTGGGAATAAAATAAGGCCTTTTTTAAACTAAAAAAAATAGGACCCTTTTTTTAATAGAAAAAAATACGGCCTTATAATACTACTATTATGTTAACTAGCATTTTTTCCCCGTGCGATGCACGGGATATTATTTCAAAAGTGTAAAAAATAATCAATTTAATATATAATAAGAAAATATCGTACACTAACATAGTAAAATTTAATAATGTAGTATTATTCATATTTTATATAACATTGGTTTTTTTAAATCTGACATATTAAGATTTATAATCCAAATATACAGATTAAGATTTAAAAAATCGTATTTCTATCTTTATCTCTTAATATTGGAGATATATTGATGAAAAATCGGAGATTGATAATTGTTAAAAGTTATAGTTAGAAATTAGTAGAGAAAAAATATTAAAAATAAATAATTACAGAAATGCCATTAGGGTTTTTTAGGGTTGCCCAACGTTTCTTTCTTTTATACATAAGAGAGTAAACTAAATTGATTATTAACCTAGGGAGTAAATGATAATTTTCAAAGTGCGTGAGTAAATATGGGCAAAATGAGTTTTTTAGTCATGTAAGTTGGGAGTTTTAGTCCACCATATTTCACAATCAGAATTTTAGTCCTGTAAGTAACAAAAGTTGGAAATTTTGGTCCTATGACCTATTAAAACAGGTAATGTGATGGTTGATTGAATGAATTGTATTTAAAGTATAAAAAAAAATTAGGTAATGTGGCTAATGAGTTGGATGATTTTGGAGGGAAATAAAATATAATATCAAATTATTTTTTTTATTTGATGAATGAAATAAGCATTTTTGTAATAACTATTTTTTAATTAATATTTCATAGTTTTCAATTGATAAAAATAGTAATTGACTATAGTTTATTACTCTTACTTGACAACGTATTTTATGTTTGTGGGCTCTAGAATGCTTTTTTGGTACATTTAATTTCATAGAGTTTTGACAATATTTTATTACTTTTTTGGTTAATTCGTAAATGTGTATTTGGTTTTTTATACTAATTATGACTGTGCATGTTATTTAAATTTACAACAAGTTTTAATAAAAAAAAAAATTCCGTGTTTTTGTTGAATATAATTGTTGGTTCAATTTTATTGTAATCACTAAGTATAGATTTGTAAAAAAAAAATGAAATATTTAGATAAATATAAATTTAATTACTATTTTTATCAAATAAAAACTAAGAAATATTTATTAAACATTAGTTAGTCTCTTATTTTCTTCATACAAATATAATGGTAGATTTCATTCAAGGGTTTATTGAGGTTCTTTGTTGCAAAATATAACAAAACATATATATATATATATAAATTAACATGTTAAAATTTTCAATTTATTTTGGTGAATTTGACATTGAGGATCAAATTTCTCTCTAAAACCATCTAACTCATTAGCCACATCACCTAATTTATTTTTAATCTATTTTTTTTTTAATATTTTAAATGCGAACTAATTCAACCAACCATCACATTAACAGCTATAGCAGGTCATATGACCAAAATTCTCAACTTTTATAACTTACATGACTAAATTTCTAATTTTGAAACATGGTGGACTAAATCTCCCAACTAGTAAACTTAGAAGATTAAAAAACTCATTTTTCGACAGTAAATGTACATATGATATTCGTACATATAGTAAATTTTCTTCTATTTTACCTTAATAATATTTATTTAATGTAATTAGAGTAATATAAACTAGCAATTCTTCTTGTGAGATGCACGGGGTAGCATTGCGAAAATGAAGAAATTTAAATATATGATGATTAAGTTTTATTAAAAAAAATTACACACTATTAAAATAATCTGTTGTGAAATTTGAATTATCTCAGGATAAGTAAAAGTTAAATTAAATAGTGAAAAATAATTAAAATAAAAAATCCACATTGGTGTGTGTGATCTAGAGAGATTTAAGTGTGTGTAAGAGAGAGATTTACAAAGAAATTGCAAAAGTTGAAAATAAAAATGTCGGAGTGGATTAAGATTTTGCTAACTAATTTGTTATGAAAGTCATTCGAGAAAAAAAAATGGTGCAAAATAGGAGATGAAATAATAATAATTAATCTTTATATATAAAAGAAAGGTTTTACCCGAAACCCTAGATCCATTTTTGTGAAATATTTGTTGACCTAGGGTTACTTTAGTCATTTTACTTTGGAAGTTATTATTATTATTATTATTATTATTATTATTATTATTATTATTATTATTATTATTATTATTATTATTATTATTATTATTTGTTTTTATGTTTTGTTGCACGATTGTTTATTTGTCTAGATTAACATTACATCAAAATAAAATAAAAATCCCACGATAAAAGCAATATTCCCACGATATTAAAACTGTTCGTTCCCATTCCCCATTCTTCCTCCATTTTCGCCATTTTTGGTAGACATGGTGAATGAACTTTTAATTTCGTGCGTGCAACAGTTTTTTCTCTTTTCCGCAAAATTTGCTTAGTTGTCTACTGATTCCTATAAATAGGTGTTCGTCTTCATCGTCTGTTGTTGAACTTTTTGCTTCGGTTCTATGGATTGCCAGTAAACCTCAAAAGCCTACAATCTCCATGAAGGTCGGTGCTATTGCTATTGCAGATAATATGTAACATTTCTTTTCCCTTTAAAATTCTTGAAATCGAAATTACTAATTTATATGCACTTAATTTTCATTTGTATGCATCAAATTTTATTGAGTTTCTGGATCTGTTAGTACTTTTTTTTTTGGTGCTTTAAATTGTTTGACTATTTGGTTACTGTGTTTTTTAAGAAGTAATGGTTACCGTTGGGTATAGTTTGGGAGGTCGGATTTTGAATTTTATGATCTTTTTGTATATGAATTGGACATTTGATTATGATTAATGTCCGTCAGACCAAATCTGTCTGAAGTTTGTCTATATTTTATATTTTGTACAAGGTATTCAAGAATCAAGAGTTATGTTTCTCTGGCAGAAAAAAAATTCTCTGCTCGACCGCAAGGCCTTGCCGGTAATTGAAGAAAAAGGTACCAAGTTTACGTGTTGTTGGGTATGTAGTTGTTCTTTTTATTTTTTATTTTTTTTTGTATGTATATATCTGAAATTGTGTATTTTTTGTTTACTGAAATGAGGGAATTTTGTGGGTTATTTGCTTTATTTGATTCAAGAATTGGGTTTGTATATATTTACATGCAAATTTTTTGATCCGGTTCGTATGAAAATTCGCAGTAGAATTGGAACATATGTTTTACAAGGAAAGCTTTCACGGAATATTCTCATCAGTAAATGCAACAGTGAATCTTATTTCTCTAGACCTCTTGCAGTATCAATTCTTTACAGCACTTGGCAGATTTATTTTCTCATGTTCGGAGTATTGAAAATTTTATTCAGGCCAGATATTGTTTCAGCAAAATACAGTTTTTTCCAGTATTCATTTGAACTGTATATGAACGTTTTGATCTTTTAAAAATAAAGTTGAACTAATTGTGCAACGTGTTTGTATATGTATTCATTTTTGTTTTTGTTTTTTTTTCTTAAAGAAGTTGTTTTCCCTAGCGGCATTTATAATGTTTCTTCTACGAATGTACTTCTTAGCTTCAAATTTGTAACAACATTTGGGAATGTATATATCTGCATATTTTGTAGCATCCTTTTCTTTTTTTTTTGGAAAATCAGTTGACCTGCATAGGTTTATTTTATGGTTTCAAACCGTAAACACATCCCGTGTATATGCATAGTTGAGAAAGATAGTTAATAGCTAGGAACTTCACATCTTCACCTCTTCACATAGAACACATAAAGAAAACATAATAATATCTTGAGTCGTATATACCCAGTAAGTTTATTATTTTCCAATCTGTAGTGCAGTATCTGATTTCTATGGCTGAGCAAGTTTCTTCTTGGTGCTTCTACTGTTTACTGCATTTACCAATTTTCTTTAGCTTGCTTATTCCTTCGCATGATTGATTTATTGCATGTGTTGCTGAATTTATTTTACCATGCACGTTCTTTCTTAACCTGTTGTCTTTCTCCATTTCTCTCTTTTGTTTTTTTCCCTCTAGATGAATAAGTTTTGTAATTTGCTACTTATTCAATGTATTCGGGTTCATATTCTGTAGAGAGCAATTAGGCAATTGGTAATTCACGTCTCTATTGTTATTCATAGTTCTTCCTTCAACGAACGTTTTCATATATTGATGAATGGAAATATGGCAGCATTAACTCTAAAGCCGACTAAAGGGACCAGCACGATTCTTGCGACTGTTGTCGGTTTTAACCTTTCGCTGGTGGAATTCCAACTCTGGGCGATGTTGTTCGGTATGGCTGCAATCTACTGTAGAATAAGAGACGTTTGTGGACAGATTATTTGGTGGGGTTGAGAGTATTGAAGGAATTGTGCATATTTTCTTGACGGGTTGCCGCATAAGCTTGCGTTTCATGTGGCAAGATCATGTGCATAATTGCTTTAATTAAAATGACACTGGCACATATTGAGTGTTGATATAGTCTGTATTCTTTATTTGTTCATTTTGATTGATTACAAGGTTGAACAAAAAAGAGGCATGGGTTATATATTCTTTTTCGAATTTCCTTAATTTTCTCAATATGGATTATCCAGTCAAAGTGAAGAATAGCATGCGGTAATAGTCTGTTTGTCTGTTTGACAGATTCTTTTTTATTTTTTTCCATGTTTGTGTAGTATATTTTTTTATGTTGTCGGAATCTCATTTTTTTCCTTCTTTATGTGTATCTGCCATTTCAACAAACAACTGATGGCTTCATAATAGGCACACAAAATAAATTTACTGAGAGATTGTAATTTTGTTATATCCATTTTTTTCCAATATGTTAATATATTTGTAGATTTTAATTAATGGTAATTTTTACTTCTTCATTGTTATGTTGTTTTGGTTTTAATATGTCATAGAACTTTATTAGTTTTGTTTGTATTATATTTTTTATTATTTGTAATTTACCTGCATTCAATTTTTAATATTCACCGTGCAACGCACGGGGCAAAGTACTAGTCTTATATATAAAAGGAAGATATTTTGAACTATAACCCTAAACCTAAACCTAGGGGTATTTTAGACATTTCTATTTTGACAGTTTTTTTTCCTTTTCCTTATATTAATTGTTTTTTTTTTTTTTTTCGTACTTTCAAATTTTCTTGTCTCGGTGATTTTGGTTTTCTTTATTGTAATGAAAGTCTTTTTTTTTTTTTTTTTTTTAATTTAAAGGTTTCTTTTATTTTAAATTTTTAATGAAAGTGGTTGCCTATAGATAAGGAATTTTAAACGGGTGAAGTTTTTAGTGATTAGTGGATTCCTATTAATAAGGGATTAAATTGATTCCATAATTATCTTTAATTTTGGTGTTTTATTTTTTCTTATTTAATTGTCTCATAAATTACGTTAATAAAAATTGATTCCATTATTATATTTAATATTCGTGTTTTTTGTTTTCTTAACCAATTGTCTCATAAATTATGTTAATAAATAATAAATAAATTAATTAAAATAAAACAGCCGACGATATAAATAAATTATTTGTGATTATTCCATATATACTTCCACCTCTACCGCTACCATCATCCACTAATCATTTGGTTTATCATAAAAAAACTCACATAAAAAATAAAAATAAACATCCTCTTACAAATAATTTACGGTTGTGACTTGTGAGTAAACTAGAGAAAAAGAAGAAGATAACAGAGGCGGTTAAAGGTGAAAATTAGGAAGAAAATTACATATCACACATTTTTTATCAAAGGTGAAAACAGTTGAATCTCGGTTCAATTTTGGAATACTTTTCTTCATTATGTACGTAATTTTGTATGATTATATTCGGTGTTTGTTTTTTCCCTTTGTCCATAATTTTCAGGTTTTTGGAAGATTCCGCCATCATATACTAGAAGAAAAAACTCCTCCTCACAAATCATAAAGTAAAGGCTCAAGGTAACAACTTCTTAAATTTGGTCTCCATATTCAATATAATGGGTGGCGTTTTCAACTTTTTTTTTAATTAATAATATTTATGGTCATTGTTGTTTGTAGTAATCCAGGCATCTCCAACAATTGTCTTGAATAAATTTGTTTAGCTACGGAACCACATCTGGAATCCGTCGAAAGAGGTAATCTAATTTCATATATTATCATTTCGAAAAACAAATTGCAGATTTATGGCATTTGGTATATCTTGAATTAAAAGAGCAACCATTTGTCAGAAGAGTACGAAAAAACATCCGAGAAGAAAAAGTAAGAAGAGATTCTCACAATTTCTCTGTCCGAAATTCATACAATTTATTCTCACTCTCTTGAATTTCCTTTTTTCCCTGTATTTTCATTTTTATGTAACCGGCCAAAAAAATGTACCCGTCTCTGTAAATGTATTTCTTTTTCCTCACAAATTTGCACTGTAGTTCTAATTCATTTAGCGGGGTTAGCTGTGCATATAGATTTAGGTAGAAATGTTTGAACCCATCGAACTGCTTTTACCCTCATATGGTGGTGTTTCAGTTATTATTATTAAACAAGTTTGTAGATATTTATTTAAATTACCTCACTATTTCTGTGTTTTTTGTTGTAGCAGCGTTTTTTCACTTTCTCGGAGAAACATAATCTCCCACTTAGCAACGCAAGTCTACTCAACAGTTAAAAAAATTCTGAGAGATTAGAAACAATTCTCTCATATGTTAACCCCTCAAATCATAAGAAAAATGAGATGTGATACAAAGAAATATGGGGTCGGGCTGAATAGCCGAAGTCCTCTTTTGTGATCCCGAGTACCTCATGACTCAGGGGTGAGTTTTTTTTTCGGAAGTTTTTTTTTGTGATTTCTTCTTTTATTTTCGTGTCTCCTCCCTTTATTGGAATCTGGGGCTGAGCTTTGAGGGTTTTAATTGATCGAATTTTGAGAGTAAATCTGATTTTTTTCCTAATTTTTTTTAGGGTTAAATACAATTTGCACCCATGTACTATGACCACTGTCGCATTTACCCACTGTACAGTTAGTGGTGCAAACTGTATTTAACTGAGACGTGCTATTTCCACCCTTAAAATATCTTATTTCACAACAAAATTAAATGTATTTCCCATTTTATCCATTTCTTCTACTTTCATCTATATTTTTTACAAATTTATTAACCGTCCACCACTAAATTAATTAAATTATTTTAAAAAAAAAAAAAACCTCACCATTTTCACTGGAATCTTTACATCAAAATATCACCCTCTCCACCAAGCGAATGATACTTTCGTTAGAGTATTTCTCAAGGTAAAAAAGAGTAGGAATTAAAAAAAATTAAAAAGTTAAAAAAATAAATTAGAAATATAAATAAATTAGAACATATGAGGATTAAGCGAATATAAGGAAGGGTGGTGGATTATAAATTTGAGGGTACTTATGACATTTTATATATTTTTTGTGGTGAATTGAGATACTTTGGAGGTGGTAATAACACCACTCTTTTTTTATAATGCCACTAAGTTTTATTTTTATTCCGATATCCTATTCGTGATTGTCTCCATAAATTGAGTTACAAGATTCTTGCATTTCGTATATGTCGCGTGCATCGCAAGGGGACCTTGGACATGACCTAAATGACTTCCACTCATACTACTTAAGAAAAATGATTCATAGAACTTATGTCTAAATTTCATGACTGCTTTCATTTATACTCTTATTTCTGCAATGCAGTTGATGGGGCCATGAGTATTACTATATTGTTGCTCTACTATGAGATTTTTGTCATTTTAGACTCAATTTTGTTGCCGTCATTGTAAGAAATTTGTTTTATGGGACTTGAGATCGTGTACTAATTTTAATAGAGCCCTGCTTAACAGTTAATTAGAACTGTAGATTACTTCTATTCTTATCCATTGTATTTATGACACAATTTGATACGCAAATGCTATTTGAAGTTGTAGAATTCTCCTCCGTGCTTCCCCAAAACAAGAAGCAAAGATGTCAACGTAGCCTCCTTAGAAAAGGAAATTCATGCAAAAGTAAAGGAAAACTGAAGCCCGAGCTAAGAATGTAACCAACTTTTTTGCCTCAACTTTTTTGAAAGATACTAGGTTACCCAAGTAGTTATGCACTAATGGTTGTATTTATGCAGGAAGCAAAAGTTAGGTAAAACCTCTATTGCTGTTTTAAAATTTTGAAAACTCCAAGCCAAGTCATACACACGGAGATAAATTACTGCAAGTACATTGGTACATTTCATTGGGAATAGTTGGTTATAAGTATTATAATCATGTTTGAGAAAAATGGATTGTAAGGT